TTAACATTAGACGTTGAAAAAATGTAGGGAATTTATAGGGCAGCCAAAATAAACGTCCGATAAATGCCAATAAATGCCCGGCATATTCCCTTTATTTCATTCCCATGCCATAAGCGTCTTAACCCTATTCATTTCTCACAAAGCATTCAAATAACATAACAAACCATAAATAACGCCAACAAATAGTTTCAAAGTTTGTGTTTATTTACAATACGTTTAGAAATGAGAAAAAGTGATTAAGAGATGAGTTGTGAAGCGATGGCCAGAATGGGGACAATTGGGACAATCGGTGGTCAGAACTGTTTGTCGAGAATGTCTCTCCAGAAGTAGAAACAGTCGCCAACGAGGGGTGGATTGTAGTTATCGTTAACAGTGTAGCGATTGGTCCAAACGGTTCCCATTCGCGACCGATTGGCGTGCAGTTCAACGTATGAGGCGTTGACCCGACCCTCACGTGTCAGGCCATACATCGGCCACGACTTGCCGTTCACTTCGGGAACAACTCTGCAATTATTGGCTATTAGTTTGCGATCAATATAATGAAGACAATCACCAAAACACTGACCCATGTGTTGCGAAATGCGTCCATATATTCATCATCTGTTTGCTGAGCCTTCGGTCGCCGTTTGTCCACAGATTGCGGTCATTAAAGGGGGCGCCGAAGACGAGGGCGATGTCATCCGTATGCGTCGCCTCAGACCACGTGCTATACCTCGATATGGAGTGTCGGTGTGAATACGTGAGGCGATACTGATAGACGCGGCCCACAAACTGGTCACTCGTAACCAAACCTCCGCCGAACAGTACTGTCGGACACGTGAGAAAGTAGTCGCCAAAGGCGTGAGTGGCCGCCCGTCTCAGTCCGTTTCGGTCCAACAGTCGAGGGTTGCTGTCAAACGTTTTGGTGAACTCTTCAGCTATAGTAATACCAATGGTGTCGTTGTCGAAGAAGTAGTTCCTGATATCGTTGTAGACAATCTCTTTGGAGATTACTGGCGCTATTGGGACGAATGGGAGGTAACGGCCGGCCATTCCCACCCCGAGATCGAAAGCCGACGTGAATAGGAGTCCTTCCATTTCCAAGTGTCCCATAAGTATGTGTATATCTTTGCGAAAGTCTCCCGCATTGACGGCTCTGTTCACAGATATGGGAACGAATTCATCGCCAAAGACTGGCGTAAACTGTTGGATGTAAACCGTATACCAGGGCTTCGATGGGTTGTGAATTATGGACATTAACTGTGCGTTCAGTAATTCATATGCGCTTTTACTCCGAAGACATTGAATCCAATCCGTGCCAACACAGGCACCGCTTCGGCGAAACAACCGTTTGTTTGACGCAAACCTTCGGGCGATTTTGTACGAGTAGTTCGTGTCTCTCGAAAATAACTTAATATAAGCCGAACCTTAAGATTGATATAAATAAAAAATAAGGTAAATTGATTCACTAATTGTATCATTGATTGCAAAGCTATACCCGATTGCATGATTGCCTTTTGAAACATATGTCGAGTTACGTTCGACACGATATGATTGCTAATGGATATACTACCGGCGCTCTCACCAAACAGTGTTGTATCATTAGGATTACCGCCAAACGCCCTGATATTATCCTTAACCCATTGGATGGCCACCGCCTGATCCCATAAGCCTTGATTTCCCGGACAGTCGGCTGAGTTTCCATACAAAAAGCCAAAAATACCCAAACGATAGTTAAGCGTAACGATGACAACATTCCTGAGCGCCAGTTGTGTTCCCTCATAGATGTTATCACTGGTCAGATATAAGGCTGAGAATTGACTGCTGGAACCGATGGTGAAAGAGCCGCCGTATATCCATATCATTACCGGCAGATTAGCCGAACTGTTTAGAGTAGGCGTCCATACATTCAAATACAGACAATCTTCGGACATAATGCCAAACGGGTGGTCAACGATCCACGACTGCATACATGGCTTTTGATAATTCTTTGCGTCGATTTTAGTCTTCTTATCATACTTTATGGCTACAGGTTTGCGGAATCTTAATGCACCGACGGGTGGTTTTGCATAAGGGATGCCCTGTTTATAATTAGACGTTTTATAAACACAATTATATGATATCTCAAAACTTACTTTGAATGTATAGATAAGTTTGTGTCCATTCTTCCTGTTTGTGATGCTTTCAGTACTGATGTTGTCTTCACAGCCATAAAAGCTAACTTTATTTGAGTAGACAATTGATGAGCAGTTATGTTGTCGTGGATATGGTGTGACATATTGTACGCAAATTAACAATAAGTAAATTAAAATCATTTTAAAAACTAAATTATGGTTAAGTGAATAAAATATTTAATTTAATGCATTAATTTAGAAATACACTCAAATGATAAACATTTGCATGTGTTGTACAGTGACAGTGTATGTCAGTGTTTGGCGCTTATTATGAGATGATTATCACAGAAATAAATGAAGATATCGACGGATTAATCCTAAACCCTTGCATTGATTGGTTCACTTTAACAAACCTTTAATATTATGGAGATTACAGTTTAGATATGTTATGATTAGAGATGAAAATATCACACAAAAACTAGAATGGGTTCAAAGTTTAGACTCAATGTTCTAACTGTTGCCATAAATGCCTACATTTGAA